TTGTGTATACACACTTTTGATTTATATTTTTACAGATCCTCAACTATTTTATGTTGTATCTCAAATATTATTTATTAGATTGAATTACGTTTTTTACTTTTAATTCCTATCACTCTACGCTTTATATTTTTCAAATAACTTTTCCATTAATGTAATCGTTAAATAAATGCCGTGTTCTCAAGGTGTATACTCACTTTTGACTCTCACTGTACATACACCTATATGCGTACAAATATATTATACATTTTTATATGACTTGTGATACGAAAGTAATTCAAATTCAATATCGCTGATCTCTCAATTATTGCAAATCTGTATACTTGTGTGTGTATCGATAACTAGAACATTACAAAAATACAGCAGAACGAGTCAGATTGGAATTAGAAAGGTTTCTATTGGAGTGAAATCTAACACAGTTGTATTGTTTAATGCCAAATAAAAATGCATGATACGTCTGTGCAATATATCATTTTTCGTAGCTCAATTTTTTTTTAGAGTATAACAAAATTTGGTAATGTGTGTTGCGAACAAGAACTGAATATTTTCTGTTTCAACTGAACTATTGGATATGAAGAAAATAATATTTATGCTGAAAAGTGAAATAGAAATTATGAACAAAATTTATCAAGGATAAATGTTAAGACAGCTTGTTTAAAATAAAGTTGGGTAACATTTTAACATTGAAGCTACAACGTTTGAAAGCTAGTGCGTTATTAACCATTTAACTGCGAAAGACGTATAAATACGCTCTCAAGGAGTAATCGCTTTTGCTTACGAAAAGCCGTATGCATACACCGGGTTATTTTCGCTCAGATTATCATATTTATTGTTACACTAAAATTACATAATATTGAACATATCGACTATAGCAAAGTGTTTTTAGATTGTTGCAACTAAGCATTTTAAAATGCACTCCGATTTTTACCACGTGCCCCAAAGCACCGACATGCGAAAATCACAGCGGACAGGTTTTTGTAAAGAGTATCGCAGTTAAAGGGCTAATTAAATGGAAATGGTAATATCTATTTCATCTACTTCATGGTAAAAATAAGCTAACAAAGGCAGAATTATATTTGTCTACAAATAACTGCTTTTCGCAGTTTGCAGAATAAAAAATCGTGATAGTTATGATTTCTGGTCTTATAATTGTCCAAGTTGATATTTATAATAAATTATGTATGTTTCTTTTTTTATGCTTTTGTTACAAGCTAATCATACACGTTCGGTGACCTGCACTTGCCACGCATGCCTATTTTATCTTTTTCCAAAACAATGGCACGTCTGAAATGCCAAAAATGCGGATTGAAGTGCAAACAAATTTTTGGTCTTGCCCTAGATCTACGAAATTTTAGTTGCAGATTCTTTTAGTTGTGGGCCACGTTTTCGTGTAAGCTTTAACACTTTCGTTGCAGCGGACGACTATAGTCGCACGCCACGAATTGACAAAACGCATTGTCCTTTTGCATAACAATGCCACACCTCATTCGGCACGTGTTACAAACGGTCTCCTGGAAAAATTTAAGGGGGGAGTTTCTTTTTTTTTGATCAACAAAATCAATTTGTTGTTTACAGAATTTTGTAGTTTAACTTTGTAGGAATGTCTCTGCAAAATTTTAAGATAAAATTCATAAAATTTTCAAAGTTATAAATTTTTGAAGAAATCGATATCCCCAGAATCCATGGTACCGTTGTAAGACGTTTATAGTTGGGGCCACGATATAGCGAGGTCGTGAATTAAACTCTGAAGAATCGGCACCGATTGATGTTGCGGCACTCAAGGCCGTGTGTTGCAGTCTGTTTGAGGGTTCCAACAATAAACGAATGGTAGCATATGATTTGGTACTTCAAGTAGAAAATGGTATTTCATTTACAAATGGAAAATATGTTAATATTAAAGCTACACAATCCTTTTGCATTTTCTATCTGTATATAACACAAGCAGGTAAATGAAGATGTTAAAGACCTCGATAAGACCTTTACCTGTAACCGTACTTCCAAAAGCGGCTTTTCCCAGAAGAAAAAAGCCCTAAATTGTCCTAGCTGAACTCAATTTTCAGTAAATATATTAGAATCAGTTTGACTTTCGCTGGATACAAGAATTCTTTGTACGGTCCTGACCATGGTTTCAAGTACTTATCTGCTCGTATTTCTGTCAATTTCGGGGTCCCGGCAGCTAAAACATGTTTACTTTGACGCCTGACCGATTTTACGACCTCGCTATATCGTGGCCCCGACTATATGTTATTGGAGTCGTAGTTTTCTAACAGACAAGTTCAAATTTATTTGCAGTGACATTACCATAATTTGACAAAGGCATCTTTAGTGGCTTCGTTGGGTTGGCCTTGACTCTTGAGCAGTTAGGCCTAAAAGGACGGTGTCAACAGCTGCAGAGCAGACCTAGGGTCTGCTTACAAGTACGTGTCGAAAGACAATTTCCAGATATGAGAAGGAAAAGTCTCTCTATCCTCTTGAACTCTTTAGAGATATTTTTTCGTTTACGTTGCTTGGGAAAGCGGTGAAAACCAGCAGAATGTCTTTGGCTTTTGAAACATGCACTTCGCTCTCTTCCTGTGAATCTCGATATTATTGTGTTACTGTTTGAACTGTTATTTGTTTTTGTTATTTCTTATCTGTTTCTTTGTTTTGTTATATTTTTTATTGTTAAATAACTTTATTTGGACACGAGTGTCCAAAATTTTTTGAGAAAAATCGAACATTTGAATTTAAACAGTTACCATTTCTCGAAAAATAATTTCTTTTTGTTCATTGTAGATCAAATGATAATTATATGTGTATAAAATAAAATCTCATTAAAATTTTTGATTTCAGATGAACCGGAGGGCAGATATGTCAACCGTTAATGAAGCAATTGTGCGGAGCGTCCTAGTTCACGGGCAATTCGAACTGTATTTTTAAGTGAATTGAACTGAAAAAATTTATGTAACATAATGAAAGTATAACAAACATATATACAAAGTTTCAAATTAATCAATGTTACATTTTTGTTTATAAAAAATGCTAAAGTATCGATATTTTTGACCAAAAAAAAAAAATAAATTCCCCCCTCAAGTCAACTACGATGTGAATATAACAGGCAAATTGAAATCCTGGCTAGAACCTTAGATGATCCTATCACGTATGCTACGTTCAAACTGAAAGACCCCGCGTTAATTGCAATTAGTTACAATAGCAGAGAGGTGTATATTAAATAGGGAACCCCCATTGGACAATCTATTTTTTCACCTGCTCATAAAGCGAGTTCGTGCAATGGAGCGCTATTGATAAAATATTATGAACCAGACTCAGCGAAAGAATTTAGTTGTTGACTCTTAAACGAAAAAGGTAAACACGGGATCCCAGGTACTCCTAGCCACCGCGGTTGTAAACGTGTTGGACAACGACGGTCACCCTCACCGCTACCGCGTATTATTAGATTCATTCGCTCAAGCTCATTTCTTTTACGGAGAATTTCGCGAAGCGATTAGGATTATCCAGGGAAGACATGCAAATCCCGATCACGGGAATGAATCAAATAACCTCGCAGATTTGGCACTCCACCACGGCGCATTTGAGATTGTGCATCACCACCTTCGCGCGAGATCTCAATTTTCTCATCGTGAACGAAATCGCGGACCTCGTCCCTTCCGAACGCGTTGACAGAAAATAATTAAACATCCCAACCCAGGTACAACTAGCAGATCCGGAATTCCATAACCCCGCCCCGGTAGACGGTTTGCTAGGAGCTCAAATATTCTGGCATTTAGCATAGGGCAAATCGAATTAGCTTCTCCACAGATACTACTGTAAATCCTCAGGGGCCGCAGCCGATCCTACGATTGGCTGCGGTACGGGATTCACGACTCCGAGGTACCTGAGTGCCCGGGCCTGGGGGAGGAGTCACATCCTCGCGACGGGTCCCGGTAGTGGCGATCCACACGGGGTGGCCCCGCCTCCTTTACTGGGGGCGGGGCAGGCCCCAAGTTCCAAGCGTGGGTCACCGGGCCCGCAGGGCTGTCGGGTTAGGGGACCCGAACTGAGTCGTTTTACAATGACTCCGTGGCATCGGTGCCATCAAGAGCCTTGAAAAAGAGACTAGAAGCCAACGTCGGTATATATGACAGTTTTAACGCAGTCCAAAATATGTTTAAGTTCAATTTGTGTCGACTTCTAAGGAATTTTGTCAGAATTTCGTTTTCTTTATCTGTTCCTAAAATTACCAGTCTCACAGACGGCATGTGACCGTTTATGCACGAAAAATTCACACGTCTGGTTTATATATCTCAACCGTTAACTTTCACAAGAAAACTGTAAAAACTAATTATAAGACCAGAAATCAATGTTTTCAATGAAGTTTATACAGTTATTCTATCCTGCACAAATGGATAATTCAATTTGAAGACAAAATAATCCTGTATGTACAAATTTCTTTATACGTAAAATCAAAAATATATTGTACAATTTAGAGTTCCGATACAAACTGCATGAATTTCGCGATTTTAATAATGTGAAAATTAGTTTTTATGGTATTTCAGTAATTATGATCACCAATTCGTAAAATGTTACAATTAATTTAAAAATTTTATTAATAATATTTTAGCACGAAATACAATAATACGTTTGCTTAAAATCGTAGATAAATATATTTTTTGGTTAAAAGTACTTGATTAAGTACTTACTTTTGAATTATGTAAATTACCTACATTTTTCAAAATCTAATACTAAAAAAAAATCAAAAATACAAATTCACATTAGCGACGAAATGTTGATAATAGTATAAAAGTTTAAGTAAACTGCAAGACAATTAAATTATTATTAAGCTTAAATTAGCAGGTTGCTTAAATTATTATGTCGCTTGTGTTGCACATTTCTTGACAATACGCTTTACTAAAAGCGTACAAATACGAAAAAAGGCAGAAGGTACGTAAATAAAGCTAAAATTAAATAAAGAAAAATGGTGATCCGCTATATAACGTGCATTAATATTTATGTATTCGAAATACCAGTTGTGTAAATAACTCTTTCAGCGCCACTGTTCAAGTTCGTATTTTCATCGATGGTAGTGGATGGTGGTGGCATGGCAAAAATGGGCTGTTGGCTCGCGGAATTGTTCTGCTGACCAGGTTGTGGTTGTCCTGTTATCGCATCTTCATCACTTTCTTCCTCCTGTTGAACAAAAATTCACAAATAAATATTTCCCCTTCAACAATGATCAGCTATTTTTCAGGCTATATACAGTATTGTTCACTCGAATAGCCTCGCGCTTGTTTCTTTAATGAATTATGAACAATGTGAAGCAAACAGCCTTCTGTTCCCTTTTCTGCTTATACTGTATTCAAAATCTATAATATCACTATCTATTTGTCACTTTGTTATTATAAAGAGAAATTAGCGACAAAGGAGTGACAAATTAACAAGGGCAAATTATAAAGGGCATCATTCAACTGATGTACACCGATGTTAGTAAACTTTTATATGCAGCTAAAGAATCCAAAAATATTGGATACGTATTTTTTTAGCTGCTAATACTTGTTTCTTAGAAATGAAATCACCCTTCAAAGTTGTGGTTGAAAAACTGTTAATCAGAATATTTTCGAAATGAATTGTGGTAGAGAAAAATGTTAAGGTACGAATCTTGTCTGATTTTTCACAATGAATAACCTGATGCGAATGAAATTTCTGTAAAGTCATAGATGGCGCCACCATAGCTGGAAATATATTCGAATAAATATCTTGTATACGACATAATTAGTTTTGGACAAAAATTTGTCAACATACATAGAGTATATTTTCTGAATCTCACAGATATGTATATGTTTTTCGCAATTTTCGAAAATTGCTACATATAGAGTGAGGGAAAGTCGGTAACCTCGCTGTCGGACCGATTTTCGTCCGTTCTGCATATAGACAGAGAGCGTGGCAGAGGGTAAGACGGAGAAAAACGTAGGCGGTTAAGTGGGGGTTTGGACGTCTAGTGGTTCTAGCCCTGCCTTAGGCACGTCCCATGCGCTAAGCGAGGTTACTCTCATTTTGAACAGAGTATAGATGATGTATACACAAAATTTTGAAAAAACTGCAATTTCTGGGAATCACGAAGAAAATTGTAAAGGTCACTTTTTACAACTTTTTACTATCGTTTTCGTTATCCAGGGGGTGTGGGATAAATTAAATACTAAAAGTCTGCGAAAACCTGAAAATGTCGCAAACCCGATATTTGAGAATGAAAATTTCGAGAATCCGAACGATGTTGCAGGACTAGCTTATATTAGCTAAATATAGTCCCGAAACGTGATTCTGGTTCTCGAAATTCTCGGGAATCCTGGTATTCTCGAATCTCGAGATACTTTCAAGAACCCGACTCGATCCCATGAAAAATTTTCGACTCGACATTTTCGGATTCACGCACACCCCTGCTAAACACCCGTCGCCTGCTGTTTCGATTAAGCTGCGTACGTAACAAAATAAACAAGTATCCAAGGTTAGTTTTAAAATAAACATTAAAGTAATCTCGAAATTGTTCATTGAATTAGTCCTTTTATACTGTTTCATGATATTGAAGCAAAATATAATGCAATTTTTCTATTAAAAAAATAGAATATAACCTTAAAAAGTACAAAAATAGAAACTTCTTCTTGCAGACAAATGGTAAGAGATATCCTCCTATGTATATTGTATTTCTCTTCCCCTGTCATTTATTAATTATTTGAAGTTGTACGTAGTTATAAAATCCCCGAAAGATAAATACATTTACGTAATGTTTGGTATTACTTTCTGTAAAGTATGTAAATATAAAGGACACTTTCTCATACTTTAACAATCTGTCCGTAGACCTTAATATTGAAGAACTTAATAAAACTTAATATTAGTATATTTCAATTTTCAAATTTGTAGTATAGGAAAGATCGGGGCTGGTTACCTATAGGAGTAGGTTGACTAATAACATTGCACCGGCGTGTGCTGTTCCGCGGAAAAATTTATTGTAGAAACAAGTCACTTCTACTACGCCATTTATTTGTTTCTGATGTCGTGATCGCACGTTGTTTGAGTGTTAACAGCGTTTGTCGAAAAATTGGCTACCTAAGTAAGTATTTTTTCCTAAAGATTTTATGTTCTCACGCTCTATAATATTTTAAAGTTTATTTAAAATACGACCTATTGAAACAGTGTTTTTTTTAATACGTAAATTTAGGGTTATGTAGAGTATTGAAGTCAAAATGATCATTCGGGGCTGGTTGACTAATAATGTCCGGGGTTACACGACTAGCTGGTCAGCCAATCCTGACGATATCAGTTTGTACTAACTTTTCGTTAATAACTTATCCATAAGGTTAGGTAACACAAGAACAATAGGTATACATTTATATTTTTCTTTCTATAATTCTCTAAGATTTTGTTACTACTGTAAAGGTTTAAATTGTAATTTTGTTGTTAGAAAAGCGATTTTTGTTTTGTTTAAAATTGATTAACTTATAAATACATTATAATTTATGTTTGATTCGTTGAAACAAAATTTTTAGTTTATTATTAAAATATGAGAGAAAGATAATTAATATTTTGTAATAAAACAACTTTACTGACATTGTGTTGCTTTATTATCACTGAGATAAGTTGCTAATAACATTTTCTTAACTGATTGTATCTATAGTCAACCTACCCCATACTGTAAGTCTACCAACCCCGACCATGGGGCTGGTTGACCAGCATGGGAGATGTTAGAAAAACGTTCAAATACCTCCATTGTTATCACATTAAGTCAACTTTAATAATTTAATCAGGTAGTCAAATATATGTCATATGAAATATTTACCCACATAATTTATTAAAAGTCGAAACTTGAAAAACTAGCCTACCAGCCCCGGTCTCGCCTACCCATATTTTTGCATATACATATGTAAATATGTGTATAGTCAAACGTGATCAAGCGATACGATTCTTAAGTCACAAAACTCTTGCAAACAGGTATATACAGGTTGTCCCATCTTTTTCCAATCAAAGTTTATCAATATGTTCTACAGGTACAACAAAGAAAAGAATATCATATAAACATAGGTCATTTGATGCTTTATTAAAAAGTTATAAGAATAATATGAAATACGAAGGGAATGGTAACGAATGTGAGGTTATGTTACAAAGTAAGAACAGATCAGCAATATGTACATGTTATCTGTTTATGCAAATTGTATTTACGATCTGAGGTCGTTGAAGGTGTTGAATGTAACTTTTGCCAGTACCATTCTTGTCTTGTATAATAGTAACCGCAAGTTCGTTACCATTCCCTTCGTATTTCCTATTATTGTTGTAACATTTTAATCAAGCTTCAAACGACCTATATTTATATGTACAACATTTTTATATTTTTTATGCCCATAGAACATACTGACAAAGTTTGATCAGAGAAAAACTGGGACACCCTGTGTAAGGGCGACCACATTTTTCAGTCCTTCGCAACATTCAAAGAGAGTTAAAAAGGTGTTGGCAGCGAGCATGGAGGATTCTCCGATAACGAGAAACTCTGACTCAACTCAACACCGAAACAAACGGTAGGAGCAAGACTTTTGATCCAGCAATTCCTTTATCTTGGGTATATGCCGTCGTGCAACCAAACCTCTGGCCATATATACGACGAACCCTATACTTTACGATTCGATATATCTTGGCGAAAGAATCTTGCTAGTTATCCTGACTCAAGTGCATCGAGTCAAACGACAACCCTTCTTGCGCTCGTTTGATAGTCGCTATTGACTATCACTTTTTTGTAATAACAGTTTATCGACACAGTTTTAAAATAAACCCTGTTGCAAATTGTAATTCGAACGATGCCACTGATATTGCGACGAGAATATAATGAAAGTTGTTCACCCGATGCAAAAACTTTGTTATTTAAGATTGGCAGCTCTTTAAATAGATATAAATTTTAGAAATATGAAAACCAAGGAATACAACAGAAATTTTAAAACATTGAAAAGGGTCTAGCAGGATAAGATGGTCAAAAGTGCCCTTTAACTAATTAGGTCGTACGATACACCATTCGAAAGCTTATCGAAAGAAAACATTTGGCACCAACTTTCAACCCTCTAGCACGACTTAGAGGGTAGTTACAGGATGAATTATATCCATCAGTTTTTGGACTTTTTTCCCTATTCAGTGGTACGCAAAAATTTTGAAAAAAATCTGGCACATTACGTATGTGAAGAAGGCACATGTTCGAGATCTTTGTTTTCGTTGCAAATCCTAGTTGTAAGAAATAAAAAACGTAAAAAAAAGCGGATATCTTTTGAAATATTGAAGCGACAACTTTTATATTTATTTAGTAGCAGCAACTTAACGTAACTATTACCCTCAATTTCCTCAAATTTTTTGGTCAGGTGCCCCTCGTAGTTTAAAAAAATACCTTCATATATGCAACGCGCCAGATTTTTTTCAAAATTTCTGCATGCCACTAAATAAGGAAAATAGAGAAAAAACTGACGATCCGAATTTTCCCTGTAACTATCCCGATCGAGATAGAGGGTTGAAAGTTGGTGTCAAATGTTTTCTTTCGGTAAGCTATCAAATGGTATATCGCACGAGCTAGTTGGTTCAAGTACACTTTTGACCATCTTATCCTGGTAGACCCTTTGAATTACCCAACAGAAATCTATCTTGTTCATTTTTCCTCTGATAGCATTAAAATAGAAAGAAATAACAAATAAGAATCAAGTTGAAAGGATTTGAAATAGATAATTTTATATTCCAATCCCTGACACTCAACCCTAACAATCATTTCAATTTTGATATAACTAAGAAAAAGAGGCTTTGAGGTGTGCCTTTCTCATTTTTTTAATAAGCTATTACATAATGACAGTTTACGAGATATTTACGAGATGTTAAATTTGAGGACACTCTTATCTGCTATAGCACAAGAATAATTGCCAAGTGAAAGCATGGTGTAATGCGTGAATTGTTTGCCTACCATTTCGGTGTTTCTTTTGCGACTAACTTCTAGTACCGTTTGATGTGTTTCTCACTATGTAGAGAGAACTCAAAAACACCGTCATTGGATGCAGTTATAAGTGATTAAAATAGAATTTCTTTCGTGAAAAATTGATGACCAACGTTTATTGCGACATGTACAGCATGACGGCCACCTTAAAAGTGTTTCGAACGGGGAAGGTCTAAGGAAGACAGAGAGAGGGTAGAGTGAGATAGATATAAATATGAAAACAAAAGAAGCACAGTGTTTAGACAAGGATAGGCAAGGATAAAGTTAAGAAGTAATAAAGAGAGAACAATATTGTCATAACACACTACCTAATTTTCCTTCAAATACTTATTCCTTTTTAAACGAATTAACAATTTCTAAGAAATTGGTTTCATTTTTTATCTTAAAGATTGAACATTCAATTAAGTATTTGGGAATATTGATTATTATTTTATCGTAACTAGTAGACAAACTTGGGTAGTAGGTATTATAAAAACATGAGAAATAAATCAATTTTAAGCACCTTGATAGAATGATCTATTCTTGTAAATACCTAGTTCCTATTTGAGGGAATACCGCCACTTCATTAACATCTACAAAATGAGATCTTCCCTGTATTAAACATTAAAAATATTTCTCTATTCGATTTTCCAACGCAATTACTTGCTTCTCACATTTTTAGCTAAACACCAGCTTTTCAGATAAGAAATGAAACCAACTTCTTCTCTTTAGATTTTCAATTAGGTAAAAAATTAATTTAAATAGGAGTACGAATTGAAATTAAGTAATGGGTGATAAGATCGGATAAGATTCGAAGCAAGACACAAAGAAACATCAAAGTGGTAGACAAACACCTAACGCGCTGCGCCATATTTTCATCTGCCAATTCTGACGGGTTCCTGAAATGTTAATGTGAAGTATCTCATATACTATAATTGTGCAAAAGCTCCTTAAAAAATCAAGTAACCACCTCCGGTCTCTTTTTGTAATAATACATGCTATTAAAGTAACAACATAATTGTCGGAAGTAAACTGGAACAGTGCATAAAACATTTTTATTTTTTGCATTAAAGTAAGTACCATTTATAAGGGAAAGTTCAGCCTTACAACATTCCAATCTGCCAATTTTTTATCACAATATAGTACATATCTCCAATAATGAGTGTGTAAATTTGTTTTGCCAAAATTAACTGCAAATGTGTTGAAAAATTAAATAATTAAAGTTTGGACCATTTTCACACTATGAAGGTTTCCATGGCAGTTTCTTAACTAAAACGGAAAATTTCACTTCTTCGTGGTCTTTAACTGCTATTAAACATTTGAAAATCAATGGAATTAATAAAATGTTAAATAAGAGTTAAATCTTCAGTTTTCTAACATTGTAGTGCAATACAGTTTATTAAAATACTGTAATATTTTATTAATATTTGATGTACATAATATTCATATGAATATTAAATACTGTAATATTCGCATACAGCATATTTTGAAGTGCAGAATACCTCGTCGTGTTTTAATTACATAATCGAATTTATTGTAACACAACTACGAGATATTGGTGTAGTATGAAATAACAGACTACAGTAATAGTCAAATGTCAAAATTAAAATATAATGCTTTAAATGACTTTCAAATATTTGATAACACTTGGAAAGTGTGAAAAAGTGAAATTTTGCGTTCAAAGTAAGAAATTGCTAAAAACGCATTCCATCAGGTACTCAACCTCAACAAGTAGTCCTAACTTTAATTCATTTTTTCACATACATACTTGCAGTTGACCTTGGCAAATAAATTTCTCACACACACACGCGCATATGTATACACAGTATAGATTGACAAAAATTTAATTGGGATGTAACAAGGTTGAGCCTTTCTTTGTTAGAAAAACGTGAAGTCGACGGCAAGTAATATATTTTGTGCTTAAAATCGCCGTTGAATTTCTTTACTCTTATTAAATTGTATATTTGAAAATTAGTGCAAACCAAAAAGCGCTCATTATCAGTCGCGAACTCCGTTTGTTAGACTTAAAGCATTATCTTTCTCCTTGGTTCATTTATACAAACCTGCAGTTCTCGCTCTGTATGTTCCTATTATATTAAGCCTGAAAGAAAATAAAAATGATGAAAAACGAAAAAAAAACGTTTCAGGAGTTGAGATGAAAATGATTGACGAACGATATGTATTATATCTTTGTTTCAATGGTTCTCAGTTCCTCCTATTATAACATAATACATGGAAAGTAAAAAAAAACTCGACTACTGTTTCTTTTCGGTTTTGAATTCTCAATTGTAAACCGCCAGGAATGAAAATTTCTGTTTAAAACTATGCTCTTCGTTTACTGAATGGAACCACAAGTGTTGCATTTTCATAACTAATTATTGGAAGTACATTTTTTTACAGCGATTAACAGCAATAAAAAATAGAGGGATATTTGAGGAGTAATGATTAACGATTACTTACTAAGGAATAAAACTGGTTCGTTACATTTGTTATTAGAAAGTTTTATACGTATTAAAAGATTCTAGGACATTTATCGCAGTTAAATGTAAAACTTGACCACATTTGAAACACTTTTATAAAATTAGAGGATTAAGAACCACCGATACTGGATAAAAACTTACCTTGGCTAGGCTTCTGGGCTGATTCGTCATGACATCTGCCTCTGGGTTCTGGTCCCGCTACAATACAACAACAACGTAAACAAAACCGCTAAACTATCGTATTCTAAAAAAAAAAAAGGGCAGACGTAAAAAGTGCATGCTAGGCTAAATCAGAAAGATTTTATAAATTACAGATCGATGATGTATGATAAATGTGAAATGGTTGGTTGAGAAAACAACGAATAACACTTAAAAAGTGCACTGATTTATCAATAAATAAATGAATATATAAAAAAAAAAAAAAACGGTACTTTTTGTTCCTGCAAGTCTAGAAACGGCACAAACAGAACGGGTCTTTAAGTTTAAACTGGTGGAACTTTTGTGCAACAGTGTATAGCATGATTTTTGAATTATATAACAAAAATTAACAAATACTTTACTTTCAGTGTAATAAATCCTTCATAAACTTATGTCTAACATTACACTTATTATACTTCTTTCTTTTTTTTTTTTTATAAAATGCAGGCCATGGAATCAACTAGAACCATAAATTTACGATATAACTTTAGTCCTTCCTTTTTGAATGAAGTAATATAAATAATTATTGAAAAATGTGCTAGAAAGGAGAATTTATTACTGGCATTAAAGTACTCACAAGAATGAGTCGCGACCTTGACGAGCGTTTTTTGAGTATAGTTAATATATGTATTAATTTAAATTATGCGAACAGACAAGAATACACAAATATTTGAGTATTTTTATCCTATCATATTTCCGAATGAAATAGTTCCAAAAATTCAAGATTAAAAAATTTGTTTGATACACAAATCTTTATATTACTGCATAATATATTTTATAGTAACTGTAAATGTATCATAAAAACGATAACAACAATATGTTTTTAAATTAATACCTATGGCGACTAAAAATTCAAAACTTCACATTTCGTTTTATCGTTTATAAACCTGATTTCCTTCCATTTCTTAAGTTCGTGACTTTCTTTTTTATAAATAAATAAACATTTTACAAACCACTCTATATTATATACAATTTAAAATACTTTTTTCCACTTTAACTAATAAAGTGTATACCATTCAGTAAAGAAACTGAAGTTATAACTTCAATTTGTGCTAGAAAAATTCTTATTGAAAATTTATACGTGAAGTGTAACAGTAATCAATTCATAAGTAATGTCGTTCTCATTTCGGTTAATAAAATAGCATATTACTCTTCGATGCATTTTAAAGGATTATTATTTCCTTTATCAGCATCAAATATTAGAAGCACTTACTTGTGATACTACTTGCTGTACAAATTAGAAACAGATAACAAAATTGCAACTGGTACTCCAAATATATAAAAACTACACACAGAATGTATGAAATGTAAAAACAGGTGAACAACAATTTTCAAGTTCTCCTGTCATTCAAGAAAGGTAGATAACAGGTATTTAAAAAGCCGATGCAATCAATCTCAGCTATGTAAAGGAAGACTACAAGACTAAATATTCTTAATAGAACTACACACTGGTATAAGAAACTGAAAATGTATAGAAACAAAAGAAAGGAGTTTCATATCACTTTAAAAGTGCAAACTGTCTCCAATTAAAAATACTTCTAATTATCAAAATGAAATAATTTATCTTTTACCAATGTTGAGGGATTTGAATAATGAATATCATACAATAGTCTTTAATTTTATTAATTAATTAATAAGGAGAATTAATTAATCCTTTAATTAATTAAGGAGAAGGGTGATAAATGCAAAAGGTAGGGAGTCCATGCAAAAGTTTTGTATTTGACAAAAAAAAAAAAATTACTTCATTTTCAATTTTTAGATTGTAACAAAACTATTACAACTAATGTTTACTGCTAATAATTTGACAAACTACATGCAACCTTGCTAGGGAACAATTATCATCAGTGAACTATAAAAGCAACCTTTTTCAAAAAGATTCATTCAATTCTCCCCACCTGATACTTAATAATATTACATACTTTTTTCACTGTAATATTCTTTAAGTAGCAAGAGTTGTGCTAACAGAGTGCTGCCTAAGATTAACTTAGTTCAGTTTTGTGATGTAGGAAATAAAGATTGTTATCATTAAGATCACTTGATATCACTTAAAAATATACAGACATATTGCTGCTTTTATGTGAATGAACCAACTTGAAAAACGACATTACTTGTAGAATAACTTGAGAAGAGTATGTGTAATCTGCTTTACGTTATTTGTAACAAAATTGAACACGTTACATGTTAAAATCTGCTTAAAATAGAAAGCAAAGATTTAGCGTGAAGTCAATTTCGCAGAAGCTTATCTGCATCTTACAATAATTTTCCTGTAAATGTTAATTGCATGCCATACCTTACTGTAAATGTAATAAAACAGTATACAATGCAATTCGTTCTATATACGGATTTCCATTTTTCTCGTCATACACCTCAGAAATTAGTTTCTTTGTATCTAAATTACGGTCATAACGTCTCCATAATAGCTCCGCTAGTTTGCCGTAAATTCTTAACGATTCTTATTAATTCTTCACTTGCTTAGACCACATGGCACAAGAACAATATCGTGACATGCGGTAATAATAATATTACGTATTCGTTTATGCACATATCACACCCACGAGTTAATTGTATACAATTTTCTCAAAAATAGAAAATTGAGTTTTAAGAAGACTGTTTTTGTATGTTGCGTGCCCGTATACTTTTCGTCATTTAAATGTCCATGAATATCTGCATTTGTCAGATTTTCATTTGTTAAGCTTGTTATACGAATTTTCACTATACATATGTGCTCCGGGTCGTTCTTGGTATTTCATTCCAGTTTTGTGCTTACACTCTTTGCCTTAGTAATCATAATCTGATTCACAGTAATATAGTTAATATAAATTAAACAGCAGTTCACAAAAATATGTTTTATATTTATATAAATTCTACACGTTTTCTATCGAATGATTTACAGATGTACATATGTAATACAGTCTTGGCTAAAAATATTAGGCACTCTATAAAATATCAATTATTTAAAAATATTTTTGTATTAAAAGGAAATGAAACTATTGAAATGTGAAAATAATCATTTTTTGTTCATTTTACCAATATTTTGTTGGGTCACCCTTTGCAACATTTTACAATCACAGCAATTTCTTTGACATTTACCCCGATTAAAAAAAAAACTTACGCTGATGATCACTCAGTTCATTCTTTATTGGCACATTGCATAGGAAACTTTCTAACTTTCAAAATATTAACAGTAAAACTAAAGACAAGTTGACGTGTGTTAGCAGCGAGTACTAACAGCAAAGTGTGGCTTTTAGGAAGAAACACAAAATGTGCACTATGGATCATTCAGTTCTTGTATGACCCTCTATAAACCTTATCAACAGTTTTAAAATTCCTTTGAACTGGCCGACAAAAGATGATGAACAATAGAAAACCTTCAAAGAAATAACTTTTGCAGTCAGTTGTAATAATAAAAGTGCCTAATAGTTTTGACCACGGCTGTACATTTATCTTATTTGCCCTTGCACTTTCCCATTGTAGCACACTGCATGATCTTCATGCTTCCCTGATGAATGTAGAATGTTCCATCCAAACGTTGATACTATTGTTCACTTTGTTGTGTACGAAACCTTACATAGAGAGCTCCAAACGTGCTCTGTTTACACTACAGCTACCTTACAATGTGACAAGGATATCCTCGCGCAAAATTCCGCGTCTTTTCTTGCTCTCACCGCGCAGAGTGTGGTGATTACTGCCCCGACATCCTGAAGCGTTGATGGATCAGAGTTAAGAGCTCTGAGGTCCCACATCTGGGAGTGGTGTTGAGTTCCACTACGGACATCTCATCGATGATGTATTTGAACGGTACCGCGGGATGACCAGTTTTTCAAGCTATGCTAGATGTGGTGTTGCGGAATTTCTCGCTTTCCCTGTTTTTCTGGGGGTGTTTGGGCGGATGTTTTTCTCGCTCTACCCCTGGGGACTGGTTGGATTGGTGTTGAATTCCCAAGAGTGATGGTTTAAAGCCCAATGCTGGTTAGGTAACCCTTTTTCCAGGTCGCTGGCGGGTGAGCTGCATCTCATTAGCTCTGGTACCAGTCTGGAGAACTGGCAGAGTGTGGAAAGTTGCTTCCGTTCAAACTTGTAACTTGGCGGGGGTCCTCGTAACTCCCGGTCGCATAGGTAGGCCATCTGGGTTCGGTGATCGTGTTCATTGGACGTATCTCACTGGGATATCCATCCATCTGGATCAGGGCTTTCAGCCAGATGCTGGACGTAAAACTTCGACGTGTTATGCCCTTGCTCACTCCCCCCAGAGGCTGTAGTCGACTCAATTGACTGCAGTACAAGCTTAGTAAATCCGAAGTACCCAAGTTCCATTATACTGTAAGTCTCCTGACTTTGTCTTAATTGGATGGGCCGCGAAGATAATATCTATAAAATATCCCTAACGAATGGGGCATGCATTTGTCAATGGCGCCAGAGCATGGCTAGTGAGTGCACCGGTGTTAAAAGACTCGCATCGAGATACCTGCTGCCCTCCCGATAAAACCCCGCCACATTCATGGGACCAGAATGAAAAGTTTGAAACCAAAAACTAAAATTATGAAAGAAAGTAAGATTCCATAAGGAACGATGGCGGCCACCAGAGATGGAGAGGCTGAACGTACAACCAACAGGCACATTATGTTCAATGAGTGTTAGTGTGCGTGAGGAGAACAGAGATTGTACGGTGCAGTTTAATGCGAAAAGTGAGAAGCTAGAAGAAAGACTGCAGAAGGACGGAAAAGCGATGAGACATGAGAACGATAGTATGTATGCTTACAACGTATGCGAGTGCAGCGAAGAGTAAGTGTCGTAAGTGTAGCGCATGAAAGTAGGCATGAATTGCAAAAATCGTATGCAGTGGTGGTGATGTGAGTGGATGTTCGAATGTGCGTGTAGTGCGGTATGAACAATTCTAGAATAGCGATTAAGATGATGAGTGAGAAAGAAATAAATGCAATTAGAGAATGCAAGAAATTCTAAGAAGTTGAGTTACGAGTGGATTTGCTTGAAAAGATTGGTCCGAATAGTAAATAGTATATGAAACTAAATAGTAGTACTAAATGAAACGACAAATGATGTGCTATTGAATGAGATATTACGAGAAGAATCTGCGGGAATCTATGAGTATAACTAATTGTAAGATTGGAGAGCGTGTGAGAGTGATAAACGAATTGGAAAGATACGAAATAAGGGAATATTATTCTGGGAATAAGTGCTTGGATAAAAGATAGAATGGTGCGAAAAGGTAGAGTTTACATTCAATGGTGGGCATGTAATGTGTCAGTTGAGTGTGCAATGTGGTATGTGAAGTATTATGGGCATGGGCATATGATAAAAGAGTGTAAGAGTAAGCATAAAATGCAGGAAATGTGGAGTAAGTGAGCACGAGACGAAACAGTATGAAAGAAAGAAAGAGGATCGTAAAAATTGTAAGAAGAGAGAACGTGATTATAATCACTGGCGAATGAATATCTGGAACACGTGAGAGCATTGAAACGTGTTAACAATGACTAACAAAGGGAGTCTCAGGGCTGGCCCATATCGATTTTAATCAAATTTAGCAGGATAATAGGTCTATATCTACAATAAGCGTGAGCGTAATTGTAGCTGCAGATATTCAGCTAGTCTGGAGAAAAGCGCGTACAAATTTGGATAAAACGTGTAGTCAAGTATATTCGGGTGACAGTAGAATTCCCGTATTCGAGGTTGATACATTCCAAGACCTACCGCGGATACACTATTGCTTTGCATTTCGTCGGATCGCTCTCTATTTCTCTATCCCACTCGGTCTCGGTATGTCGTATGTCCTATTCGCTCTCTTCGTCAAGCGATGCTATATGATCATACTTGTAAATGTGACCGTTTCGAAAATGTCGGGTTGGGTCGGGACGAGAATTTTTCTCGGGATTGAGTCGGGTCCCTGAAAGCATCTCGAAATTCGAAATATCAGGATTCCCGAGAACTCGAATTACGTTTCGCGACTAACTTAAGGCACGTATTAGCTTTTTGACTTACCAATTTGAAATAAAATACTATATCTACCACTTATTTGATGCATTTCTTTTGTTTCATGTCATATCTTTTACAATTTTATTATTTTATACTGTGGGATTCGAAAATGCCTCAAAAATAAAAAATCCGAAACCATTCAGCAAAGCTAATCCCTAAACGTCATTCGAGTTCACGAAATTCGTGAGAATCCCAACATTTTCGAGCCGCGAGATAGTTTCGGGAACCCGATCTCTTCTCGAGCATCGGGTTCTCGCACACCTCTATTATTTACAGATACAATATACAGAGTGTTCGACAATAGTTGGTAGAAAACTTCAGTGATGATTACACAAGTGTATAAAAACAAAGTATTTAATTAAGAAAGAAACGCCGACAGCATCCAGAGAGCAATTACTACCGATCGCCTTTAAGTACTGATAGCATACGATAGACGCCTATAAGACGCTTGTAGGGATTATAGGGTTAAAAGAGAATTCCGCTTTTAAAAACAAACAACAAATCGATTTCAAAGAGCACAAACTTTTAAATTTATATTAGCTACTTATTTCAAATGTTAATGCCAGAAAACAGTTTGCATGTAAACATGTACATAACCCAATGAAATTTTGCAAAAGTCTTACATATGGAGCAACAAATTATAATTTGAAATTGGTACTAACAAAAGCAGACATCGAAGTGTTTCAATCTGAACTTCAGAAATCTGGTAATAATTAGATGTACATTAGCAACAAGAAAATATATTAACATAATAAAAATTAATTTGTTTAATTCTACTAAAAAGATCAAATCCTTACAGTAATTATTGATTCGGACAACACAATGACACTGAATGTAAATCAGAAAGTATGTAACATTTTTTAAAGAAAGTATCGTTTTAATATTGCAATGATTCTCACAGAGTTCACTCTTAAACTATATATTTGACAATAAATATTCTGATTAATGATAGAAAAAGCATCCTATAAGCACCTTATATAAATATCCTACCTACATAGTAAAAATATATAACTCTAGGAATGATTAAGAAATTGTTTTACAGAATACTAACTCAATTAAATCTTATTATAGAAGCAAATGTGTATTATATGTGATATTAATTTTATGAAAAGCATACCATTTAAAAGGAGTATCAGTAATCAACTAGGAAGAAAAACAGTTTTTCTTGAAAACAATGTCTCATATATGGAAACCTTACTCTGCAATTTCGTCTAATTTTTTCATAAGGAAACCACATTGTTTTTAATTGTATCCCAATTACTAGAACATTCTGTATAATACGTTCAAATTCATGTAAATCTATAGAGTATTGTCTGATAAATTCTTCCGCCTATATGCACAATGTTCATGTCCGTATACATATACACATATACAACAGTCAATATTCTTGACAGTATTAATTCCTTTAAAGTATTTGATTACAATCAAAATAAAATTTTAAATATCAATGATTTTTTAAAAGTACAGTCTTGATCCGTAATAAGCAACCGTTCCTTGGTTCGTAATAAGCAACTCGCTATCCCATCTTCTTTATTGGAAGTCGCCCGCCGAGTGAGAGACCCGAGAACGAGTGAGAAATCCGTAAAAGCGAGAAGCCGTAAATCTTTACGATGGAATGAACAATGACGTTGTTTAATAGAAGAATAGAATATGTATAATACTTTCTCATTCTAGTATTAGCGATCCTTGCGTGTTATACATATCTCGAGCCTCTCGTTCGCTCTCCACGTTCTCTCGTCCCGTTCAAGAACAAAATCAAACCAAATAGCATACTGATCCGTAATAAGCAACTGGCTGGTCCCGAGCGAGTTACTTATTATGGATCAACACTGTAATCTTATAAAATATTAATCGTATTCGTTAAGAAACATAACCTATATTGTTAAAATTTATGTAATAACTAATTTGAAAATATGAAATTTAAAATCTAGGAAAATTAAAAATGATATTCGTTAACATTTAAAATAGCACATAGAATAACTAGACTCCTTGGCTAGTCTTGCTTAAATAAACAGGGTAGGACAAAAATAGTAGTATAACCGGAAAGGGGATGATTCTACGTGAAAAAATAAGTCGAAACAACGGAATAAAATTTTTTCGTCCAAGGCTTCGTTTTCCAAAAAGTTAATTTTGAAAATTGGTCGGGTACGCAAACGGCTGATTGTGAGTAAACTTCGCTATCGCGTCATTCCATTATTGATTGTTTCTGTATGAACTAGTACAAACATTGACAATGACAACAGGTTTTTGCAGATTATTTGTTTTCGGACTTTTTATTGTGTTACAAGTATGTACTGTTGAAAATGTCGCTTCTGTTGCGTACCCCATAAATTTTCAAAATCGATTGTTTCGAAAACAAAGTCTAGTATGAAAAAATTTTATTCTTTTGCTTCGGCTTATTTTTTTACGAAGAATCACCCCCTTTCCAGTTATGCTACTATTTTCGCCCCACCCTATATTTCTACATATTGGTTGAACTTTTATATTTTTTATTAATCTAAACTCTATGTTCACAGTTGCAACAAATAACATTTTAAGAGAAATTATAGTCCTAATCATCGAATCACTAAATGTTACGGAATAATTAATTTTAAACAGTTCATGAATATTAACTTGTAATAATTAAAAATTTTTTAAATCTTATTAAAAGATATAATGAAATATATATATTTCTTAATTTATTAGAAAATAAATGCATTGTATTTTATAAAAATTACTTTTCTAATAATCACACTTATGTAGAAAATATACATTAATATGAAGTATAATTCATATTTAACTATTAATGGAAGATCATGGAAAACATTTATAATTTCACAACTATTTTAATTAAACAATATATCCAACTATTTGCACTATCTTTAAATATTAAAAAATAATTGAGAATTTTACCTGTAAGTTGTGGTATGCTCCACTGTCTTGCGGTGGTGTTGGTTTACATTTGCCGCAACAGAAATTGCAGCAGCAACAGCAACAGAAACAGCAATAACATGCAGTTATCACACTACAAAATATGAAGAGTGCCTGCAACCAAGAATTTTTTTTATTTTTATTTGACACAAAAAGTATAGTATAGTAGTAGAATAATAATTATCTGAATTTTGACTATCAAGAAAAACCTAGTCTGAGCTTAAAATAAAATGTGTATTTACACCAGGCTTGGTCCACCTGCAAGGTCTGAGCCTAACAAAGTTGAACTTCAATAGCTCAAATATTTTATTAAGATGGGTAAAAACAAAAAAACATAAGTTTCATTTCAGTATTTGTCTTAAAACAAAAAATTAATTATATTTGAGAGTAATAATTATTTCTATTATTGTTTACCACATGTACTTCCATGTAATAAACATGCACCTTCCAAATCTATTTTATTTTCCATTGTTTTATTAGATACTTATTGTACTGTCCATATCTTACTGTATTTAAATTATTTAATTAGGTGTTTGATATTATTCATCAAAATTTATTAAGTAACTTAAAAAAATGTTTTAAATTTTATAATTGAATAAAATTTGCTCAGCAACATATAATCCCAGAGATCCATAATTATCATATATATTCCTCTTAGTTAAATCTGTTAATATTGCATGTGCTCTATTTATTTCTTTAAACTGAAACATAATATTATTCAAATAGATTAAATTTATAGAAAAATTTTGAAATATATTGTAAATAAAAAGATTTATAAGATTTATTTAAATATACAGGGTGGAGCAGATAATATGACAAGCTGTTTTCTCTAAAGTCATCACAAATCTCAACTTGGAATTTTTAGGTGTTAAATGGTGTAGAGGGGCTAATATTTTAGAGTGTAGGATATTGTAGGAGTGAGTTTCTTAAAGATAGAAAGGGTGCCAGCCCCATTTTTTTTTAATGGGATGGCATATCAATTTTTCTATATTCGGAAATATGTTATCTAACCTAACACATTTTATCTAAGGTATTTTCTTTTATTCTGCATGAATAGAATTTGATTTGAAAAAAAGTGCAATTACATTTTTCATTTGCATCAATGTTCAAAAGTGCATAAAAGTAACATGGATATGCAACATTCACCTCTATTTAATTCTGCCCTATAAATTATATCTATTTTGAAGACACATTAAAACACATCATTTTTATAATTAATTTCTTAATTAAAACGTAACATAAGACTGAAAGTAATGCTATTAAAAAAAAAAGCAAATGCAAATCAGATCGATAAAATTGTCAGAATACGCATTTAAAGGTACGTATCCATTTGAGAGTAAATGTACGGGTCCATTTGAAACTAAAAAAACTCACGCGAGGAGCTCTCGAGAGTACATTTATGCATTTCTCACAAATAGACACTGTGTCTGAGAGTAACTGTCGGAGAGCAGCATCTAACTCTCCGAGAGCGGACCTTTTGCAAGTTGCTCTCGAATGGATAATAATATTGCTATCGGAGAGTTATTTCCAAAATACCAACTAGTTTTGTTTTTCTGAGAGTACTATCGTGAAAGTATCTGTACGGTCATCTACTACACCGTTCAACTTACGAACCGTACAGCAATATTCATACATAGAAAAAAGGAAAAAAAAAAACCTCATTGTTAAGGCGACTGGTTTATGATACGGATGTCCAGCAAAAGTATTTTTGAAAACTTTTAATTAAAGTTTTTATGTCACAGTTAACCAGTGTTTGCATATAAAAATATTTCTATTTAATAGTATTTGTAAAATACTTAGACTTATTCTGTTTTTGGTTCATAAATTTTTAGTTATTTAATATTTTTTCTTTTTCTTCTTTGTCATATGTGAAAGAACAGTACAGTTATATAGAAGTTGACTGTGGCACATGAAAAAATACAGAAATGTTTCTGCAAAAATTAATAACATTCCAATTTTTTTATTTAGAATGCATTGATATAGGTTTAATAGCTATTATTTTTTCTTTACTAATAACTGTTTTGCATTGGAATATTAAAATCTAGTATGTAAATTAGGTTTCAGTGATTATAAGCTACTTTCTTGTTCTCTATGTGTTAACTATTTTTATTATTTTATAGTTTTTTAGTAAGGAATGACTGAATTATAAAGGAGTGCAAGAATGGGGGTACAGATCGCGAACTACTGAAGTGTAACCAATAAGGAACCTTACGAACCTTACACAACATAGCTCTGTATTAATCCTACACATACATACTTACAGGGCATGTCTCAGTAATTCTGGTACATTCAGAGAAAAGATAATTATTTATAAAAAAAAGTAAGTTAAAATTGCAAAACATGGTTTTTACATATGGAATTTTGCTTACAAAAAAATACATTTTGAAAACTTATTTAGTACATGTACAGCTTCTATTATACTATTTTTATTTATGTTAGTAGTTATTGCTACAGGTAGTAAAATTATTTCTAGTGATGTTTAAAATTATTTTAAAAATAGAAACACAGTGAGATCAATTCATATTTCATTAATGCATGGAGTAAAGTTAAAGTTGTGCAAGACACATGAGAGACATTGTAACAATCTTCATGACATAATAAACTGAATATTGTAAATACCTGTTATTTAAGTTGCAACACTATATGTGTCTATAAATACTAATAAAATTAACAATAATTAATAGTAAAATAAGATAGTAGCAGTTGTACACATATGTAATGACTTTTTATAATAAAACTGATTTTTCTTCAAATATAATTGCATATGAAAAAGCTTTATTCTACAATTTCAACTTCGCTTTTCAATAGAAATCAACCACTGTTTCAGCTGTATAATAATTACTGGGATACCCTGAATATACAAGGAAAATTTTGTTTCCTACACTAAAAGAAAGTCAAAGTCAAAACAAGATACATATTTGCTTTGCAATAAAATCAATTAATACATTACATAAGATAAATGAATATTATATTAGCAATTTATCAATGAAACTAAACTTAAGCTATACAGTTTTTATAAAGCAGGGAAAGGAGTGAGAACAAAATTAATGTATAATCTATGTTAATGGAATATAAATAAATTACAAGTTGTTTATAAATTAAATCAAAATAAATATTTTGGAAGATATGTATTAAAATGAATAGAATATGAATCTTTATAAATAAATGTTTCTTTGTTAATTTTACCTTTTCGGCTGCTTCTGGATTGTTTGGATTTTTATCAGGGTGATATTTTAATGCTAACTTTCTATAAGTCTTTTTGATTTCTTCAGGAGTAGCAGTTTTTGGAATCTCTAAAATTTGATATAGGGAATCCCCTGCTGTCCTGAAACGAAGAAGATGTTAATGAATCATTTAGTTATTGGTTCTTACAACAAACACAAGTTACTAATTTTAAGTATTCTTTTGTACATTTAATTTTAATAAACAATAACGAAGAAGTAATCTCTTGTTACAATAAAAATTTTTAATTAATCATATTTACATAAATCTATAAATAAGCAATAAATTCAATACTAAGCGATAAATAATTTATCAAATATTCAGTACAATATCCTTAAGTGAAAAAAAAATTACAATTGTACACTATAAATTTAATTATTCTATGAAAGATACTTAAAAATGTCCTACTTTATCTTTTCACTCAAAAAGTATTAGTAATTTGAGAATTGAAAACAAATTTATTTCAAATAGCATATAAAATAACAATATTAATGAATACACAGAAATAATATTTATACAATTAAAATTTC